CCCAAACAAAAAAAAAAAAAAAAAAAAAAAAAAGGCACTCAATGATCTGGGTTTCATTTCCCACGTTTAGTGCAGATCTAATTGGTGATATATGGGGCTGGACTAAAAGACACTTTCTCCATGTTTAGAGACTATTTACTAAAGCTATCTTCCTCCTGATATACGCAACGTGATTTCCTTGAAATGACTGGGGTACTTCCTTCTCAATCCTTCCAAGAGTAGCTTTGATTTCTGAATCTCCTTTTTAAGGACTAAGGCAGAGAACTCTCATTAAAAAAGTAAGATCAAAGTAGGGTGAACAATCTAGCAGAAAAGCACTTAAAAGCCAAAATCACAAATTCTAGAAGGAGGGTTTCATATGCAGTATTCAACTCCTTAGTTTCATTAAGAAAAACACAGAGGATTTAGAAAGTGTTCAGAGTAGAGTCATGAATAAGATTTATGAAGAAAAATTAAAGTAGCCAGTATAATTTTTGTATTCAGTCAATGAACGCGTATTGAGTATCTTTATATCCCTTGCTCTATGCCAGACAACAGAACTGAAGTAGGAGAAAGAAAGGCTGGAAAATCGATTACATAGTATTAGTAATGAAAGTACCTATATCAGAATGGTATATAAACTTCAATTTCCAGCCAGGCATGATAGTTCGTAACTATAATCTCAACACTTTGGGAGGCTGAGGTGGGAGGAATGCTTGAGTCCAAGAGTTCAAGACCAGACTTGGGCAACATGGTGAGAACTCATCTCTACAAAAAAACTTAAAAAATTAGCTGGGGGTGGTGGTGGATGCCTGTAATCCCAGCTACTTGGAAGGCTAAGGCAGGAGGATCACCTGAGCCCAGGAGGTCAAGGGTGCAGTGAGCCATGATCACGCCACTGTACTCCAGCAGGTTATAGAGTGAGATCTCACCTCAAAATAAAAAAAATAAAAAAAGATAAAACAGATTTCAGTTCCCATGCTAATTCCGATCAACTGACAATGGTTGTGTCCGAACTCCCCAAGGAAGAGTGTCATGACCGAGAAGCACCCACCATGGGTGGCAGATGAGAGCAGCAGCACACGACCAGGATCTGCCACTACCAGCTCTCAACTCCCAGCAGCCACATGAAGAACAGTAATCTGAGTGTGTAAAGCACCTTTCCAACACTTTTACACACGCTCATTTATACTGTGCTCAAAAAATTCCCCTTAACTAGGAAGGCTGAGCATTATGTTCGCTTGTTAGAAACTGGGGCCCAGAGAGGTACTCCTGACATGCCCACGGCCACACAGCCAACATAGCTGGTTAATGGCAACAGCTCGATGAGAGCCCAGATCCCCTCTCATTCCTCAGCTATTTGCTCTTGATCTTTGTAGCTCGATGTTGTTAGAACAGAAGGGTATCCAGATGCTATTTCTACCAAGGAGAAAAGAAAAGGAAATTGGTTTAAACTATCATGCAGATTTAAGCTAGATCTAAAAAAGATTTTTTTCACAGTGAAAGGCTGCTAACCATTGGTACAAATAAAAAAAGAAACTTGTCATGTTTCATTCTCTGGAGGTTTAACAAAATTTTTATATATATTCCCCCCCTCCCCTCCCTGGGAAAAAAGGTCAATTACCCCAAAAGTCTTTCAAAAGGCATTACAGTATAATAGAAAGAGCATGGGATTTCATTAGAGAGGTCTAGATTCAAATGTCTCCTCTCAAATTGCCAGCTGAGTGATCTTAGGCCACTTATATAACTTCTCTGGGTCAGTTCTACTCTCAAGATAATATCATCCATCACAGAGTTACCATAACGCATTGATTGCCTGGAATTCCTTTCCAGTTCTTTTAATCAACAAAAACCTTTTTATGATTTTAAGTTTTTGAATCTCCAGAATTGAAATGAAACAAGAAACAACTACTTAGAATAGCTACAAGAGGTACATATTTTTTCTTCCTACTCAAGGCAGATATCCCCACTAGATTTAAGTCTTAAAGAGAAGAACAAAATCTTGTCATCTCACAAATTCTCCTAAATAGGGAGCATGATGCTTTGCACAGGGCAGGTGCTCAATGAATGCCATGGAGCTGAAAGAGTATTAACGGAATCTTAATAGAGTAATGACAGAAAGCATGCACTGGAATTTGTGGAGTCACTATATAGTCATATTGCAATAAAGAAAAATAGCAGCAGCCAATGCTTATCATAACTTCATTATAGGCCGATAGAAACAGGAGTAAGAGCACTTCTGTGGTGTTTGAAGATGACTTTCATAGCTTATCTCACTTGACTTCCATTTTATGGATGAGAAAACAGAGGCCTCCAAAGAGTATTTGCCCAAGGTCACACGGCTAGTAAATGACAGGGCTAAGACGTGGACCCAGGAAATCTGATCCCAGAGGCTATAATGTCATCAACTATGCTGTACTGATCCTTCCTCCAGTGGAAAAGAAAAAGAGTTGGGGAAAAAATTATCCTTTATGCTTAGTACCTCAATAGTCCCTTTTTTTCCCACAAGTGAGAAGCCTGGGGCTCTGTGCAGGCAAGTACATGAGTATCTGCTCAATACAGAAAGATGCCAGAAAAGAGATACCTCTGGAAACCTTCCAGAGGCATTTTCTCTGATATGAAAAATGGGAGCGCTCTGGAGTGCAGTAAAGGCAGAGTCCTCTATAATACATACGGCCTCAGTACCAGCAGGTAGGAGAAACTTATCACAGTGGGTCTCTATTCATAAAAAAAGACCTTCTTTAGAAAAGTAACAGGACACTCCCTCACCAACAGTCTCATTGTTAATTGCATCACTGAAATGCCCTTTGTACAGCTAGACACCGAAAACAAATACTTCAAGTGGAGCTGCATGCTGATGTACCTAGAGAGAAAGACAGGAATGCTCAGATGATGTCCATGCAAAACAACTGCTGCAGTATCTGCAGAGACACGGTGCTTATTACCCACATGGACGCATGACACACTGCAAAGCAGTCTCATCGCCTTTTACAGACATCACTGTTATCATACTCCATCAGTCTTTTGAGATAACTCTGCTTGTCACACAGAAATGATTCTTCTCAAAGATAACCAATTAGTAAAGGGCTAAGATTCCTGCACATTCTTCTTCAGTCTAATTCTGTTATTGCTATCTATAAATACTAAAGGAATCCTCTTCTGTTTCTGTAGTCTATAAGAGGACTTTGAACAAGGCAGTGGAAAAAAATCAAAACTGCCTCATTATAATCATTAAGGTTTCAAAAATCAGTTGGGCTTAACTCTGAAACTCAGCATCTGCCATGACACACTCTGTCACTGGTTATCTGGCCAGTGCAGCTGAGAGTCCGCAAGCTGCCTGCTATCACCAAAGCAGAGAGGACAGGAAGTATTAATGGCCTTGTTAGACCAGTAATAAACAAGGAGTTTGAAACTTCAATTCGTTTAATGGAAAAATGAAGCTACTTTTCGGTAAGTGGGATTTTCAGAATAAATTGCCTTCACAGATTCCACAGATTGTGGCCAAGGCAATGAGACTGTCTAAAGCCCAAAGGTTGATAAAAAGTACTGAAGTGCCAAGCTGGAGTCCCAGGCCTTTGCAGACAATTCACCAGCCGATCAAGGGGAGAGACAGATTTTAACCTCAACTCCTAACTACAAGGAAAGAAACAGCCTGCTTGTGGATTGATGGAAATCCGTTTCTGAGAACTCTTGGACACCGGAAACGAATCAGAAGACGGGCGAATCTAAATGTTCTCGAATGGAGCCACTCAGGCCTGTCTTGAAGAGACGAAACCCCTCCTACAGTCATCATCAATATGTCAGCTGCTGACTCTTCCTTACTCTGTCCCCCACCTCAGACCTAAACCAAGTGATAACAGCATGGCAATACCATGGCAATTATGGCCCAGTAAAAGCACTGCAACGAGGTTTTCTGCCTAGGAGACTACTGTGCCTTCACAAAACATTTCTTCTCAGAGTTTTAGAGCAGAACTGGTAGGAAAAGCCACAGATGGGCCGAGAAGGCCACGCCCATCTCTTGGAAAACAGCAGCAGAAGCAGGGATTAGGATTCCCTGGCGTGTGGAACAGGCAGACACATCCTGAAATGTTTTCCTCCCAAACACAAGGCATGAACATGCCTATACACCTGGGAGGCTTCTAAGAAATGGAAATGACAAAATGGAACAGGCTCCACTCATTTCCATTTTTTAACACACGCCTTAGGGTGAGCTCTAGAGGGAGCAGGAAACACCATCCCTTCAACTCACCTCGGGCTTCCTGCAGTTTCTTGAGCTCTGCTTCCCTTTCTGTTTTGCTCTGCTTGCTTCGAACCCCAAGGGCACCGATGACTAACCTTCTGGCAAGGGCTGCTGAAGTCTCGGGACGCTCCTTTGCTGGCTGGAGGAACTCTGAATGGAGGAAAGGGAGGGAGTAGAAGGGAGTAAGAAGAGAGAGCACTACAGCTCCCAGTGATTTAACTCAGTAATTAACATACAAAATAGACTACAAGGGCTGCATCAGCAGTAATTAATACAAGCCTGATAGATGACGATCAGAGGAAATTAACACGGCAAAGCACAAACAACCCTGGTTTCACTATCTGCATTAACACAATTTTTTACAGCGACTCAAACAGCTACACAGAGGTAAAACCAGGTAGGGATGTCATCAGAAACCGGTTGCTGCATTGCTTGCAGTCAACATCTCACACTCTCCAAGAGGCTGCTCAGATGCCTGATTTCCAACACGGCCATTTCTTTTTTTCCTTAAAAACACACTTCTTTTAACACTAAAAATAAAAGTGATATGTCTTTCGAAGTCTAGATGCTGTAAAACTGCTAGAAAGAACAATAACACCATCATCAGCAAGAATAAAAACCCCAGGAATTACAGGCTCACCAGCATAAGCTCTAGCTTTGGCCTTAGCTGCTCTCGTGGCCTGCGACAAGGGTCGGATCTTCACCATGGTATGTTTAATACCCAGCGCATCACGAGCTGCAAAGAGGAATACATATAAGGAGGCCGAAGACATGAAGTGAAGTGATGCAAAGAAAAATTTAGGGCTAGTTCTCAGAAAGTATTTCCTAGAGGCTGGGTGTGGTGGCTCACACCTGTGATCCCAGCACTCTGACAAGCCAAGGCAGGAGAACCTCTTGAGCCCACAAGTTCAAGACCAGCCTGAACAACATAGCACAACCTCTACAAAAATAAAAATGAAAATATCACCAGGCATGGTGCTGTTCACTTGTAGTTCCAGTTACTCAGGAGGCTGAAGCCGAAAATCACCTGAACCCAGGAGGTCGAGGCTGCAGTGAGCTGGGATCACGCCACTGCACCCCATCCAGGGCAACAGAGTGAGATAAGACCCTGACACACAACGAAAGAAAAAGAGCTAAGTATTCCCTAGAGGTTATGCTTTTTTTCCAAATCAAGCAAAAGTGATGGTATAACCTAGAAAATCTGTAGGAAACAACTTGGCAGTGAATATTTTATACCAGAAATCAGCAAACTATGGCTCTGCGACCAAACCCAGTCAACCTCCTGTTTTTGTAACTAAAATTTTACTGAAACAGAGCTGTGCCCATTTGTCTGCATTGCCTATGGCTGCCTTCTTGCTCCAACAACAGAGCTAAGTAGTGACGGGGAATATATGCCTCACAAAGCCTACATCACTACATTTAGTATCTGGCCCTTTACAGAATAAGTCTGCAGACTCATACTCTAGGTGGTTCAGACAGGAACCAACATTCCAACATCTCTAATTTCTTTGAATGCCTATGCATCAGATCTGTCATGAGGACAACGTGAAGGTCCAATTATATATTCAGAGAGTAGATATGACAATTTCTCATTGGATGGGTTAAAGGGCTGCATCAAACTCATTTGTCTGAGAAAAAAAATCACAAACACTGTAAGATTTAGTCCCACTGGCTTCTTAAATCTCTACCTTCAATCTGTTTATACACTACCTGACAGTTATGTGTACAAATAACCTGGGAAGAAGTTTACTATCTCTCCAAATGCCATTAGATTAAGGTGAAAAAGGAGAGGAGGAACACACGGTACCAAAGTACCATGCCTCAAAAACCTGTCTTTGCCTATTACCTATATGAGCTGAATAAAATGCCAACTGGCTGGGATAGAAGGGAAATAGAAAAAGAAGCGTGAGAAAATAAACAGTAAGAAAGGAATACTGAAACCCAGGGGGTGAATACCTGTAATTGGACTGGAGAACACTCCTAGGGCATGTGTATCATCCACCCATTTAATATCAAATCCTTTCTTTCTGCAACAAAGAAAACAATTTTATTTCCTGAAATAAAATTTACTTTTATGAAACATCGAACAAATAGAATCTCATAAAGCATTTCACGAGATAGAGAGAAACACTCAACAAGCACACAGGTGGAATAGGGATAATGACACACAAAAAAGAGCTTGGAGGACAGAAGAAGCCACTGAATTTTAAAAGCAATAATACCATCATAAAAAACTACCCAAGGGTATTTTACGTTCCAGCCATTTTATAGACATCAACTAATTAATCCTCACAAGTCCCTTGGGGAGTTAGAGTATTTAATGCACTATTTATAAGAGAGGTCCTTAAGGGCAGGGAACAAGAAGAGATGGAAAGAGGAGCAGAGGAGGGGGAAAAGAATGCAGGAGGAGGAGGTAGGCAGGGAAGGGCACCAGGATTTAATGCAAACATAAACTCTGCAGAGAGCAAAGGGGAAGGAGGGGAGAGGGGAAAGAGGTGGGGAGAGATTACACTGCAAGATGTCGTTCAAATTTTAAAAAGTCAGTTAATGAGGAAGAAAGGACAACTACAATCAGAGAAGCTCATCTTGCTTTTCTTGTTGCAGAAGGATGGTTAAAAAAAGTAAAAGGAGAAGAAAACGATGGCAAGTCAGGAAAATTCAGGACAAAAGAAATCATAAGAGAAATATCAGATCAGGTTAGAAATAATCAAAAGAATGAACATTTCAGTACTAGAAAAACTTTATTCCAGAGCAGAACTATACAGTAAGCAGGAGGAATGTCAAGATAATGAGAAAACAGTGATATTTTTCAACTAGGAGCTTGAAACTGCTCATGAACTCAACACAGTTCAGTGGAAAGAGAACAGGTTTGAGGACTGGATATAAATGGACTCAAGGTTCTGCCACCTTGAGATCTCAGGCAGGTTTGACCTCTCTTAAAGCTAGGTCGGCTCATCTGTAGAAATGGGCATAGTATCTTGCTTTCAGAGATGTTGTGAAAATGGAAATGAGATCACCCATAACAAGAACGTGGTATGGAGCACATGGTAAGGCTCTAAATAAAATGGTGCTCATTATTTTTAATAGCAATGTTCATCAGGAAGATTATTAATATTGACGAAGGTGATTAAAACATGAAGTTGACTCTGTTACTTGACTTATAGACATTATTACAGGCTTTTGCACCATGGTCATTCAAAAATTTTATAATCACTATACAGAAAAAAAATAAAAGACAACCGCTAAAATATCCCTGCTCTTTAACAGTCAGTCAAGAAAAAAAATTCCCTTAAGAAAAAAATAAAGTAGGCTTTGAAGGTTAGAGAATTTCCTGAATGGAAGGGAAAGTTTAACCATGGCATAAAATAACTGTAGGGATTGGAGACTGAAAAAGTTCAATAGTAGCAGTCTATTCCATAAGACAGGTTACAAAGAGGAAGGGAAAGACCTAGATGTGTTTTGGAGGACCTTTTCAACTCTAGAATCTCATAATCCTTTTAACCTCTTCTCTTTGGGGGAATGTTTTCGAATTTGATAGAAAAATAGTCTTGCAGGTAAGATCAGGATGAAACAAAGCAAAAGGAAGTAAATAATTCATACGAATTATGTAATCTTAAGGAAATTCTAGACATCAACAAAATGATCCTTGTTTTTAAGAACTGTCATTATTAATGACAATCTAAGGTAGTTCTAATTTGGGATTTAATCTCACTGACTGTTTTTTAAACCTATTATGAATTTTATATTTAACAGGCTCTGATACTGGGTCTTAACAAAACTGCAATGAATTAGACTGACTGATCTATACTATATATTAAAGATTATGACAGAGATTAACTGAACTCCATGATCTAATCACTCATTCTTTCAGATACAGAGCTGATGATCTCCCTCAACCAAGTTAAACTGATTAAATAAGTACATACCTGCTAGCTAGTTATGTCTGTTCTAGAGCTTTACATAAAAACAGAACACTTGTTTTTAAAAATAAAGTTTTATTTTACAGTCACCTCATTCATTCATGTATTATCTATGGCTGCTTTTGTGAGAAACAATTGCAGAATTGTCTAAAATGTTTACTATCTGATCCTTTAAGAAAAAGTTAGGGACTATGCCCTAATTTATATCAAACCTTACAAATTCAAGATATACATTAATTAAGTATTAAATTGAAGTTTTATCTCACAATAGACCACTGTAAAAAAATGACCATGAAAATTTGAAAAAGCAGAGAACTTTGAAAAACAGCATAATGAAACACAATTTTAAAACACAATTTTAACAGTAATTAAGCACAGCTAAGAAAAAAATCTGAATGCCAGAACTAAAGAAATTATTCAGAATGTGACAGAGACAAAGAGAGTAAATATATGAAAGAGAGGTAACATGAGGGTTAAAGGAGAAGGTCTAATACACATCTAACAGACATCTTAAAGGAGGTGAAAGAGAGACAGAGAGATGGGGCAAGGCAATATCTGAAGAGATAATGTATCAGAGTTCTCCAGAAATAAATGAAAGACACTGTCCCACTGATTTTAAGAAGCCCAAATCCACAAAGCCCACAACACAGTGAAGATGTAGAATACCAAAGACAGACAGGAATCCTTAAGAGCACCCAAGGCAACCACTTCGGGTCCCCTCCCACTGTGGGAGCTTTCCTGTCCTCTCACTAAATCCCTTCTTATTTTTTTAAAAAAGCATCCAAATAGGAAAGACAAAATATATTCAGAAATGACAGCTGTTAGATTGTCAGCTGACTCATCATCCATGGAGGAAGCCAGAAGCCAGACAGCAGAATCCTATCTCTTTAAGATTCTGAGAAAAATAACTGACAACCTAGAAATCTATACCCAGCAAAAATATATTTCAAGAATAAAGCCTAAAAAGTCATTTTAAAAAAAACACAAAAATTTGAGTTTGTTACAAGCAGACTGTCAGTCACTAAGTTAAATGCTAAACAATATGCCCTCTGCAGAAGTAATGCTTTCAGATGGGATGTGTGAGACACAAGTAAATCTGAACACTGAATATACAAAACAATAAACATCAAATGAAATTTAAAAATAAAAAACAAAAAATAATCATAATACCATATACATAGGGGGAAAGGTGAGAAATGGAATTAAAAGTCATTTTGTATCTATTAAAGAGGGTAACAATATTAACTTTACCCACTGATAGTTAAGCATGTAATGTGTAATATCTAGAGTAAGAACCAAAGAATAGAAACACAGTATCACTTCAAAAAAATGAGGAGGAAAAAAAAAAGAAAAAAAACTTAAACAATCCAAAAGAAGGCAAGAAAGAAGAGAAAAAGATGTGACAAGTAAACACACACAAAAACATGGCCGGCAATCTGACAATACATGTAAATATAGCAATAATTACAATAAATATAAGTGAACTAAAAGCACCACGAAGCCATCACAGATGATGCTAAATGTTAAAATGGGGTCTAGAAAGATCATCTAGCATTTTTGAGGAACTCAGAAAAGTAGTTTGATACAAAATATTTCTAACAACCCTAGAAAAGACAATAAACCAATCTGATGCTAAAATAACAGTGACTATGAAAAATAAGATGGTTTTTCACAAAATATATATTTTTAAAATTTCATCATCCCACCTTCCCTAATATCTGCAACCATTGGCATACTTACTGATAACTGCAGAAAACCCGAAGAAGGTCTTCAGTACGAAATTCTTGGGGGAAGTCATAAATTTCAATGACATGAGGGAATTCGCAATCACTGAGGTCAATATCAGGAACTTCATGGTTGTAATAATCAAATCGAGGTTCCTGGATACTTTCCCTGCTCTTCATAGTCCCTGATAACTAGGGAGGAGGAAGCACATAAGCGACTGTTACATTAAACCTGGGCATAATCAAATCTCTCCCTATATATAACAATCCTCCTCCTCATCTCCATGTTTCCATTTCTTAGCCTTTGGCATTTTCTTTGTATTAATTCTGTTCGTAGAATCAGTTAATGATCAGGGGTTTATCATTCAATCTATATTATACATGTGGAATGCTTTAAAAGTTGTTGAGCCGGGCTCGGTGGCTCAGCCTATAATCCTGTGCCTTTGGGAGCCTGAGGTGAGTGATTGCCTGAGCCTGCGGGTTCGAGACCTTCCCGGGCAGCAAGACCTCATCTCTACAATAAATCAAAAAATCAGCCGGGCGTGGTAGCGCATGCCTGTAATTCCGGCTACTTGGAAGGCTGAGGGGGAAGGATCGCCGGAGCCCAGCAGGTCGAGGCTGCGGTGGCCGGGAGCGGCCACTGCACTCCAGTCTGGGCGACGGAGTGAGACTCCAACTCAAAAAATAAAAATAAAAAAAGTTGTTGAAATCCCGGCAGACAGGCAACGCATGAAGCTTAACTTGCTTTTTATCAACCAGCATGTGAGAAAAGAAAGACTGAGTTACAAATGGCACACCTTAGAAACTGAGTCTCGGACAACAGCTGAAGAGATGAATTAATAATATTTGTTTTAAGCTGGATCCGTGGCTCAGCCTGTAATCCTGCACCTTTGGGAGGCTGAGGTGAGTGGATTGGCTGAGCCCGCGGGTTCGAGACCTGCCTGGGCAGGCGAGACCTCATCTCTACAATAAAATCCAAAAAAAATTAGCCGGGCGTGGTAGCGCGCGCCTGTAGTTCCAGCTACTCGGAAGGCTGAGGCGGAAGGATCACCAGAGCCCAGCAGGTCAGGCTGCGGTGGCCGGGAGCGGCCACTGCACTCCAGTCTGGGCGACAGAGTGAGACTCCAACTCAGAAAAAAATAAAAATATTTGTTTTAACTGAGCTTACTGACCAGGCTCATATCATAGTTTTCTAACTGAAAGTGAACAAAAAACAAAACGTTTAAAAAAACGGCTTCACTACACTTTCTGTTGAATGTATTAAAGGGTGAGAAGACAGCTTACAAGGGAATTTATTAAGACAAATGTAACTGGCACAAGTAATTATACTTAAAGTCCCTAGCATGAGACCTACCTTAAAGGATTCCCAACAGCAGGCTAGTTAAGAAACTAATAAAGTAATAAGAAATACTTAAAATTCTACCATCCCATAAAAAAACTGAAGGCAAGTAACTACTTCATGCCAGAAGCATGAGAAAGGAAAAGGGAAAGGGAAAGGGAAAAGTGTGAGCAAAGGCTTGACAGTTAATGTCATTTACCCATTAAACCCAGATGCTGTTACTGACCACTCAGTCACCCTATGCTTATGGAATCCTCTCTCTGTGATAATCAAAAAAGTGCAGCTAGGTTCCTTCACGCTTTCTCTCTTTTACTACTGTGCTTCTTTCCCCATCAGATGAGAAAAGTGAGAACTCACAATGCTAAGGATTTATCTCCATCCTTGGAGAAGCTGAAAAATGGATTCAAGAGTTTTACTGGGGGGAGAAGGACATGACTTGAGTTTTATGTATTCCTGTGCCTCTAGTTCCTTTTCTTCACTAAGCCACAATTTCACATCTAAAAAGCGGGAATAATAGTACCTACACCTCATGGATAAGTGTGTGGAATAACAAGATGTAGTAAGCACTTGGTACATAAATACTCAATGAATTCGACCCACTTTAACTGAGTGCTAAATTGACTACATGCCAAGCACCACCATATGAGTTTCACTCTGCACCTTAAAAAAAGAAAAAGACCAGCTGGGCTTGGTGGCTCAGCCTGTAATCCCACGTTTTGGGAGGCTGAGGTGAGCGGATTGCCTGAGCCCGCAGGTTCGAGACCCGCCTGGGCAACTTGGCGAGACCTCATCTCTACAATAAATCAAAAATCAGCTGGGCGTGACAGCGCATGCCTGTAATTCCGGCTACTCGGAAGGCTGAGGCGGAAGGATCGCCGGAGCCCGGCAGGTCGAGGCTGCGGTGGCCAGGAGTGGCCACTGCACTCCAGTCTGGGCGACGGAGTGAGACACCAACTCAAAAAAAAAGAAAAAAAGAAAAAGGCCAATTGATCTATAAAGTCATAATTTTGTTTAGTTCACCAGAGAGCTGAGTTTGCAAGACAACCAAGGAAACTAAAATCCATAGAATGACGAGTCCCTCCCAAAAAAAAAAAAGTGGGGGGGGGGGGGACATAAACTGTTTTGCCTTTGGCAGACCACAAGAGTGACTACCACACAAGTAGACAAGAAGATATCACCTAAACTTTTAAGAAATTCTTTAAAATAAGTCTAGAGCAGGCTAGTGTTAACAATCAGAGATAACTCAAAGTCCCAGATACAAAACAAGTCTGCAATAACTTATAGGTCAATTGTTATGCAATGCCAGTCTGTTTTGATTACTGTAGCTTTATAATAAGCTTTGAAATCAGGATGTTCAACTCCCCCAGTGTTGCTCTTTTTCAGAATCACTTTGGTTATTTAGGGCACCTTTAATTTCCACAAGAAGATGAGGATTAGCTTGCCAATTTTTGCAAAAAAAAAATAGGCAGCTGGGATTTCACTGAATATGTAAATCAACTTAAGAAGTATCTTAACAATATTAAGTTTTTCAGTAGATGAAACATGGGATGCCTTTCCATTTATCCAGGTCTTCTTTAATTTTTCCCAACAATGTTTTATGGTTTTCAGAGTACAGACCTTATACTTCTGTTAAATTTATTCCTAAATATTTCATTCTTTTTGATGCAAATGTAAATGGAATTGTTTTCTTTATGTTCTAATTGCCGGCACTGACTTTTTAAATTACTTTGCAAAAAATGAACCAAACTAAAAACTGCACGTTTCTGCATTTATAAACTGTAGCTATATAATGCATTGTGGGAGATGTAACACAAACTATAAAGCATCTTAGAAATATAAATCTTAAGAACTGATTATAAAAAGGAAGGAAAAGACAAAGTGGTCTGGCAAGAAAATGTGATTATGCCCCCTTGCTCTAACCTACTTAGCAAAACTGAACTTGCACACATATATCCAGTGTCAGAGGTAACTAATAACCATTTTGGCTTCAGAGAGTGATTAAAAACAAGGTGTTAGTAATTCTTATTTTACATTTCAGAGAACAAATAAAGCCTACAAGTTACATACTTCTGACCAGTTTTTCCTATAACGCTCAGATTCCTAACTTTTTCTAAGAGGAGGAAGAACTTCTTTCATTTTTCCATGGCACTGATATTGTTGGGAGCAGCTGACATTTCTACTGTAACACTTTTTTTTTTTTTTTTTGGTGGAGGCAAGAAGCCATACTGTTAATGGCACTTTCTCTCTTGGAAACCTCGGCAAAACATTCAAGAGTACTTGACAGAGAGGAGAGAGGAATATGTGTCACAAAAGCTGAAATGACAGAGAGAGGAGAGTATGATTTGAAGGCAGAGCAAGACGGTGACGGTGCATGGGAGGCAGGACAGTGACACAGAGGATTAGGCATGACAGTATGGAGTTCCAAGGAAAAGCTCAAAGGATCTGAGTACTGATTCAGTAGATGCTTTTGCAGTAGACCTGGGCTGTCCAATCTAGTAGCTGCCTATTACATGAGGCTACGGAATACCTGGAATGTGGCTAGCTCAAATTGAGATGTGCTTTAAGTATAAAATACACATCAGATTTCAAAGATTTTACCAAAAAACTGTAAAATATATCTCAATAATTTTTATATTGATTACACGTTGAAATATTTTGAACATATTAGGTTAAAACATATAATTAATTTTTACCTGTTTCTTTTTACTTTCTTAATATGCTACCAGAAGATTTTAAACTATACATGTAGCTCACATTTGTGGTCTGCCTTATATTTCTATTGTAGAAAACTGAAATATTTACATGTACTGAGGCAATACTTCCTACAGTCAATGTGAAACCTTCATATAAAAGACCCACATATTCTTTTTTATGGTTAAGAAATGTCTGACAGAACAAAAATAGTGGAGAAACAGAATTTCATTCATTCCGATCTATCTATTATAGATCAAATAACATACAGAAAATAACTTTCAGTTATGAATCACAAACATTTTAGGATTTTTACCAGCAGCTTGTCCTGGTAGCAATAAAGCATAAAAGAAATATGAATATTCCTTCAAACTTCCCCAAAGGGAGAGTTTTAAGATTCTTATATCCTAGTCATCTGATTTTAAAAACAAGTCTATAAAATATTACCTGGCTGGGTGTGGTGGCTCACACCTGTAATCCCAGCACTTTGGGAGGATGAGGCAGGAAGATTGCTTGAGCCTAGGAGTTTGAGACCAGCCTAGGCAACATAGCATCATTATAAAAGAAATTTTTTTTTTTTTTTTTGAGTTGGAGTCTTACTCTGTCGCCCAGACTGGAGTGCAGTGGCCGCTCCCGGCCACCACAGCCTCGACCTG